TTGGAAATGTGGCAGCCTCGGCGGTGCGACATAAATGCCAAACAATTATTTTAATGGAATCAGAAACAGTCACCGATTGTTTGCTATCGGGCTCATGTTTCCGGCACTGAAACGTATTGTACGATAATTTCCTTATATTTCATTAGATCTAAAACTAAAACTTTATAGTTTAAAAAAGTTAAATATAATCAATTAAATTACTTATTTTTCACCCTTTATATATATTAATCCGTTATTTATATTAAAATAAAAGTATGTAAAAATCAGCTACTGATTTTGGACGTTTAGTTAGACTGAAATTTTGTTTGAGATATAAACAATAATTATCAAATTTGACCCAATGCTTCTGCAAGTTCAGTAATATTCATCCAATGCGCATTTTAATCATCAATAAAAAGTAAACATATAATTATTATTATATCTTCTATAATATTTGTCAGATATGCAGGTTGTATCGTGAGACAAAAGAAAATAACGAAGACATGTGAAGTCCACCAACACGCATTAGGGCAGCGTGTCGGACACTACCTTGCCCTAATAACTCCTCTCAGAAATGTGAGAAAGTCTGTGCTGAAGCAGTGGAACTTATATAGGCTGTAACTTTAACTTTAAATTTTAACCATTTTGGGTACCCGCAGTGGACGTATAGTGCACTGCGCGTGCAATATAACAATGCGTTTAGGATTTTGATGGGACTAGCTCGTCACTGTAGTGCATCTACTATGTTCGCCATCTACTATGTTCGCGGAGGCACGTATCGATGACTTCTATGCTATAGTGCGAAAGAAATGCGCCTCGCTTCTTTTTCGTATTAGAGACTCTTCTAATAGCATCTTAAGCGCCATAGCCGATTCACATGCATAAGAATTAAATTGTAAATTTAAGTAATTATAATAAAATGTATTTTTTTATATAAGTAAGTTTTAGTAATTATTGATATTGTTGTTAAAATGTATGATTTTTTTTCTTTTCTTAGATTTATAAGCAATTTAACTAACAATGATTCTATAATAATGTTATGTTACTAATCAATTTATGGACTCTTGTCTGAAATAAAGTTTATTTTTATTATTATTATGTGGTATTAGTAGTGTATTCTAATCTGGTTAGGCTGAATAAATATATAAAAGGAAATGATAAATATACATAAATATATATTTCATATACTAGCACAAATAAATAAGTAATACATAAATAAATAAAAGCCCAACCAGATGGAGGCCCTCGGCAGGGGAGATCAAAAGGCCGAGGGTTAGGGGGAAAGGGAGAGAAACCGGCGGACGATGCGGGCGATATCGAGGAGCACCGCCTTCTGCATTTGAGCCTGGAGCGGTCCGTCACGGAGTCCCAGCCTCCTCAGATTACCCTAGATGCTGACTGGGATTAGCCCGTTTACAGAAACGACTACAGGAGTTATAATTACTGCTCGTCGGCAGACCACCCCACATGTCGGTCACCTCGTGAGCCAGGTCCTGATATTTATATTATTATTATTGGGGTATCTATATAATTTTCTCACCTGGTTGGGTTCTATAAATATATAATTATAAATTAAAATGAAAAGATAAATATACATAAATATCAATAAAATAAAATAAATACAAAAACTACATAAATAAATAAGATCCAACCAGATGGGAGCCCTCGGCAGGGGGAGACCAAACGGCCGAGGGTTAGGGGGAAAGGGAAAGAAACCGGCGGACAATGCGGGCGGTATTGAGGAGCACCGTCTTCTGCATTTGAGCCCAGAGCGGTCCATCACGGAGTCCCAGTCGCCTCAGATGACCCGAGAGGCTGACTGGGATTAGCCTATTCGCAGAGACGACTACAGGAATAATTTCGGTCGGCATACCACCCCACATGTCCGTCACCTCGTGAGCCACATCCAGATATTTTGTTCGTTTCTCTGTTTCGGCTTTCACGAGGTTCTCGTCATACGGAACGGTAATGTCGATCAAAAATATCCTTGACTGTGCCCGGTCCATCAGCACAATATCAGGCTTATTCGCAGAAATAGCCCTGTCTGTGATGATGGCTCGGTCCCAATAGAGCCTGGCGCGGTCATTTTCGAGCACGGCTTCCGGCAAGTACTTTAATATGGCAATTTTCGGTCCACGAGACCGTATTTCAGAGCGAGCTCCTGGTGAAGAATTCTGGCTACTAAGTTGTGCCTGTGCAAGTACTCAGAGTTAGAAAGCGCCGAACAACCGGAGATGACACGCCTGAGTGACTCCCCGGGATAGCGACAAGCTCGACAGACGCCGACAGTGCCGTCCTTTAGTATGTATCTTCGATAGTTGTTGGTCTTAATAACCTGATCCTGTATTGCACAGACAAAACCCTCGGTTTCCCCGAAGAGGTCACCGAAACGTAGCCAGTTGAGGGAGGCGGCTGTATCTACGTGAGGCTCATGTAGAGCCCTGTAGTACCTCCCGTGGAGCTCCTTCTCCTTCCATACGGTCTCCCGGTCGGAAATGCTCTGTACTGCCGGGTCTTGCCATTGCTCGTTGGCTAAGGATAGAGGGGTAAGTCCTTTATCACTAGAAATGACGTCATTATAGAATGGATCATCCGATCTCGCCAGGAAGAAATGACGGAGGCTACACACTTCGCGATTATGCATGGTGAGCGCGCTCAGGAATCCACGGCCACTATGCTTTCGCGGCAAGTACAGCCTCATTACCGACGATCTCGAATGATGCATCCTATGGGACGTCATTGTAGTGCGAACTTTTCTATCCAGGGCGTTATGTTCAGTCTAACTCCACCTGAGCATGCCAAACGTATATATGAGCACAGGCATGACCCAACCGTTATATGCATGTGTCTTATTCACACCGGACAAAAGGCTGTTAAGCACTTTGGTCAAGCGTGCATAAAACACGTCGCAAACTGACTGTTTCATACCAGCCTCATCGATACCGATGTTCTGTGACATAACCAGGTATCGGTATGTTTCAGCCTCGGAAAGGGCCCTTAAGTTGACGGGCATAGATAAGTCTACGCCCTCAGAGTTAGCAACCCTTCCCCTTTCAACATGGAGGACCGCACACTTGTCCGTCCCAAGCTCCATTCTAATAGAATTGCTAAATTCACAAGTGATGTTTAGCAATTCCATAAGATGGGAGCGACTGGAGGCGAATAATTTGAGGTCATCCATGTAGAAAAAAGTGGGTCACCTTTGTACCTCCTTTCCGAAGCTGAAATCCCCTCCCGGAGCCCTCCAGTAAGGTACTGAGAGGGTTCAAAGAGAGGCAGAACCAGATTGGACTCAGACAGTCGCCCTGGATAATAACCCCTTCCTACCCTTATACGGCTTTCCGCAGCCGTCATCCGCTCGCCTAGATGACAGAGGATCGTACTCCACTGCCCCAGGGCGTTAAGTTCAGTCTGAGTCAGGCATGACCCAGCCGTTATATGCGTGTGCCTTATTCACACCGGACAAAAGGCTGTTAAGCACCTTGGTCAAGCGTGCATAAAACACGTCGCAAACTGACTGTTTCATACCAGTCTCATCGATACCGATGTTTTGTGACATACCCAGGTATCGGTATGTTTCAGCCTCGGAAAGGGTCCTTAAGTTGACGTGCATAGATAAGTCTACGCTCTCAGAGTTAGCAACCCTTCCCCTTTCAACATGGACGACCGCACACTTATCCGTCCCAAGCTCCATTCCAATGGAATTGCTAAATTCACAAGTGATGTTTAGCAATTCCATAAGATGGGAGCAACTGGAGGCGAACAACTTGAGGTCATCCATATAGAAAAGGTGGGTCACTTTTGTCCCTCCTTTCCGTAGCTGAAATCCCTTCCCGGAGCCCTCCAGTAAGGTACTGAGAGGGTTCAGAGAGAGGCAGAACCAGATTGGACTCAGACAATCGCCCTGGAAGATCCCCCTTCTTATCCTTATGTGGTTCTCCGCAGCCATCATCCGCTCGCCCAGATGACAAAGGATCGTACTCCACTGCCCCATACACTGCTCGAGGAAGTCTCTAACTGTACAGTCTATCTTGTACAGCTCGAGGACCCTCTTTAGCCATGTATGGGGCACCGAGTCGAATGCCTTTCTGTAGTCTATCCAGGCGGCGGAGAAGTTCCGACGGTTGCGTTTCACCACTTTGCCAATGACCGCATCAATGAGGAGTGGTTCCTTGGTTCCACGACCACCGCCCCGACATCTATTTTGAGCGCGCGACATCACCTGATTTGAGTCCAGGTGACGAGCGATTCTCGCGCTCAAAATGGATGTTAGTGTCTTGTATATGGTCGGTAGACACGTGATGGGGCGGTATTTGCTCGGGTCTGTGGCACCCTGATCTTTAGGAACCAAATGAGTGATCCCAGTAGTGAAGAGGCTTGGGAGCGACTTCTGGGTGAGAGCCTCTTGAAACTGTCGGGCGAGCACAGCGTACCCTTCAGCCAGTAGTGATGCAGCCCGTCAAGCCCCGGACTTTTCCAGTTCGGGGCCCTACGGACCGCCTCAGCTACGTCATCTGGCGTTATGATGACGGGGTCCGTGGGCGTAATACCCGCACACTGACTCGTCACAACTTCCGTCCAAGGACCCTCGTTGTGGTTTACGGGCTCTGACCACAGGCTGCGCCAGAATGCGACCGTGTCGGCCTGATTTGGTGCTGGGCCCGTTCCACTTACTATTGGTCGCTCCAATGATTTATAGAGCCTCTTCTGATCACTCTGAAAGAGACGATTCTGTTTGAACCGTGTCGACCTCTCGGTGTATCGCCGAATCCGCTTTCCCCCAAGCAGCGATTCTTTGCTTCAGGTCGTCTATGCGCTCCGTCAGTTTTTGCATTATATCCGGCTGGGACAAACTAACATTTGTCCCAGCAAACGCCATCCTGACGGTGCGCACAATCCTTGGCCTGGTATTGCCTGACCTGAAGCATATCAGTCTACCGATGAGGGTCCTAGCCTTTTCGATACGTTCTTCAATTCTTATTCTCCAGGCTGGGATAGCACTACTTTGTCCAGTAGCGCGTTCAGCCGTGGAAAGTTTGGCGCCTATAATACGGCAGACTGCCAGTGCGGCGCCAAAAAGAATTGAATCTGTCTCGCAAAGGTCCCGGCTGGCTTCCAAATAGGTAACCAGCATTGGGTTCAGAGCCCTCACGACAGCCCGATTCCGCTTGCTTAGGGATAAGCGGGGGAAGTCGTGGTCGATTTTCGAGAGGCGTACTGCGCGTTTCCACAATCGCCTCTTCCAATGTACTCCTCATTTGCTCTGGTTCCAGTTCCTGGGCGACTGTTCCATCATCGTCTGAATCAACCACAACTGGCGTGTTCACGGCGGCATCCATATTTGCCGTTTGCTCAGCAAGCTGTGGCGCCGCATCCTCAGCCGCAGCATTTTCACTCGATGAAGGAACAGCCTCACGTCGTAGCCGTTCGAGTTCGGTAACATCAAATGTATTTGAGCGCAAGATATACCGAACCCGGTCTGCCAGGTTTTGCTCGGTGACAGTTACAGATGGCTCCAGCTTAGCAAAAAGTCGATGAATCCTTGCCCGATACGCAAAACCTCCAGTTTCTCCCCCTTTCGCCCTAAAATACGCCCGCAATGCGTTGCTGTTCATCTGGGTTGTCCAACGCATGCAGCGTACTCCACCAAAAGCGGGTGCCGATTGCTGGGCCCGCGAAGACCCTGCCGCCACCAAGCCAGCTGGTGGGGATGATGGATGCGAGGTGCTGCTGGGTGCTTGTGCAGCACTGGCGGCGGTTCGCATGCTGTCTCGTCCAGCGCCAGCTCCAGACGCGCCCTGGCGACCTCCAGGCAGCGGCTTTTAATTTTTTTCCATCTTTAAATTTAATTCCATCATCCATTTTTAGGGCGTCATTTAGCGGGAGACGCCCAGACCCGGCGCCGTTTCATGGTGAGGCCATGTGCACAAGCGGGCCTTTGCACCTTCAATTTTTACCGAGGCACGGTACTAACAACTCTTGGCAAGGTGTTGACTGACTGCGCTGACGTAGCGGTTTTGTCACATAACCGTTACGTCAGCGGGCGATGGGGTCGTCACTTCCCTACGCCTTCTATATTATTATTATTGTGGGGTATCTATATAGTTTTCACATCTGGTTGGGTTCTATAAATATATAATTACAAATTAAAATGAAAAGATAAATATACATAAATATCAATAACATAAAATAAATATAAAAGTATATAAATAAATAAAAGCCCAACCAGATGGAGGCCCTCGGCAGGGGAGACCAAACGGCCGAGGGTTAGGGGGAAAGGGAAAGAAACCGGCGGACGATGCGGGCGGTATCGAGGAGCACCGCCTTCTGCATTTGAACCTGGAGCGGTCCGCCACGTAGTCCCAGCCGCCTCAGATGACCCGAGAGGCTGACTGGGATTAGCCCGTTTGCAGAGACGACTACAGGAATAATTTCGGTCGGCAGACCACCCCACATGTCGGTCACCTCGTAAGCCAGGTCCAGATATTTTGTTTGCTTGTCTGTTTCGGCTTTCACGAGGTTCTCGTCATACGGAATGGTAATGTCGACCAAAAATATCCTTGACTGTGCCCGGTCCATCAGCACAATATCAGGCTTATTCGCAAGAATAGTCCTGTCTGTGATGATGGCCCGGTCCCAATAGAGCCTGGCGCGATCATTTTCGAGCACGGCTTGCGGCAAGTACTTGTAATACGGCAATTTCCGATCCACGAGACCGTATTTCAGAGCGAGCTCCTGGTGTAGAATTCTGGCTACTAGGTTGTGCCTGTGCAAGTATTCAGAGTTAGAAAGCGCCGAACAACCGGAGATAACATGCTTAAGTGACTCACCGGGATGGCGACAAGCTCGACAGATGTCGACGGTGCCATCCTTTAGGATGTATCTCCGATAGTTGTTGGTCTTAATAACCTGATCCTATATTGCACAGACAAAACCCTCGGTTTCCCCCGAAGAGATCACCAAAGCGTAGCCAGTGGAGGGAGGCTACTGTGTCTACGAAAGGCTCATGTAGAGCCTTGCAGAACCTCCCGTGGAGCTCCTTCTCCTTCCATACGGTCTCCCGGTCGGAAATGCTCTGCACTGCCGGATCTTGCCATTGCTCGTTGGCTAAGGATAGAGGGGTAAGTCCTTTATCACAAGAAATGACGTCCTTATAGAATGGATCATCCGATCTCGCCAGGAAGTAATCACGGAGGCTGCACACTTCGCGATTATGCATGGTGAGCGCGCTCAAGAAGCCACGACCACCATGCTTCCGCGGCAAGTACAGCCTCGTTACCGACGATCTCGGATGATGCATCCTATGGGACGTCATGGTAGTGCGGACTTTTCTATCCAGGGCGTTAAGTTCAGTCTGAGTCAGGCATGACCCAGCCGTTATATGCGTGTGCCTTATTCACACCGGAAAAAAGGCTGTTAAGCACCTTGGTCAAGCGTGCATAAAACACGTCGCAAACTGACTGTTTCATACCAGTCTCATCGATACCGATGTTTTGTGACATACCCAGGTATCGGTATGTTTCAGCCTCGGAAAGGGTCCTTAAGTTGACGGGCATAGATAAGTCTACGCTCTCAGAGTTAGCAACCCTTCCCCTTTCAACATGGAGGACCGCACACTTATCCGTCCCAAGCTCCATTCCAATGGAATTGCTAAATTCACAAGTGATGTTTAGCAATTCCATAAGATGGGAGCAACTGGAGGCGAATAACTTGAGGTCATCCATATAGAAAAGGTGGGTCACTTTTGTCCCTCCTTTCCGTAGCTGAAATCCCTTCCCGGAGCCCTCCAGTAAGGTACTGAGAGGGTTCAGAGAGAGGCAGAACCAGATTGGACTCAGACAATCGCCCTGGAAGATCCCCCTTCTTATCCTTATGTGGTTCTCCGCAGCCATCATCCGCTCGCCCAGATGACAAAGGATCGTACTCCACTGCCCCATACACTGCTCGAGGAAGTCTCTAACTGTACAGTCTATCTTGTACAGCTCGAGGACTCTCTTTAGCCATGTATGGGGCACCGAGTCGAATGCCTTTCTGTAGTCTATCCAGGCGGCGGAGAAGTTCCGACGGTTGCGTTTCACCACTTTGCCAATGACCGTGTCAATGAGGAGTGTTTCCTTGGTTCCACGACCACCGCCCCGACATCTATTTTCAGCGCGCGACATCACCTGATTTGAGTCCAGGTGACAAGTGATTCTCGCGCTCAAAATGGATGTTAGTGTCTTGTATATGGTCGGTAGACACGTGATGGGGCGGTATTTGCTCGTGTCTGTGGTACCCTGATCTTTAGGAACCAAATGAGTGATCCCAGTAGTGAAGAGGCTTGGGAGCGACTTCTGGTTGAGAGCCTCTTGAAACTGTCGGGCGAGCACAGAGTGACACACCATGAACCCCTTCAGCCAGTAGTGATGCAGCCCGTCAAGCCCCGGACTTTTCCAGTTCGGGACCCTACGGACCGCCTCAGCTACGTCATCCGGCGTTATGATGACGGGGTCCATGGGCGTAATACCCGCACACTGACTCGCCACAACTTCCGTCCAAGGGCCCTCGCTGTGGTTTACGGGCTCTGACCACAGGCCGCGCCAGAATGCTACAGTGTCGGCCTGATTCGGTGCTGAACCCGTTCTACTTACCATTGGTCGCTCCAATGATTCATAGAGCCTCTTCTGATCACTCTGAAAGAGACGATTTTGGTTGAACCGTGTCGACTTCTCGGTATATCGCCGAATCCGCTTTCCCCAAGCAGCGATTCTCTGCTTCAGATCATCTATGCGCTCCGTCAGTTTTTGCGTTATATCCGGCTGGGACAAACTGACATTTGTCCCAGCAAACGCCATCTTGACGGTGCGCACAATTCTTGGCCTGTTGTTGCCTGATCTGAAGCATATCAGTCTGCCGATGAGAGCTCTAGCCTTTGCGATATGTTCCTCAATTCTTCTTCTCCATGCTGGGATAGCGCTACTATGCCCAGTAGCGCGTCCAGCCGTGGAAACATTGGCGCCTATGATGCGGCAGACTGCCAGCGCGGCGCCAAAAAGAATTGAGTCCGTCTCGCAAAGGTCCCGGCTGGCTTCCAAATAGGTCACCAGCATTGGGTTCAGAGCCCTCACGACAGCCCGATTCCGCTTGCTTAGGGCTATGCGGGGAAGTCGCGGTCGATTTTCGAGAGGCGTACTGCGCGTTTCCACAATCGCCTCTTCCAATGTACTCCTCATATGCTCTAATTCCAGTTCCTGGGCGACTGTTCCATCATCGTTTGAATCAACCACAACTGGGGTATTCACGGCATCCACGTTTGCGGGTTGCTCTACCATTTGTGGCGCCCGCATCCTCAACCGTAGCATTCTCATCCGACGAGGGAACAGCCTCTCATCGTAGCCGTTCGAGTTCGGCGACATCAAATATATTTGAGCGCAAGATATACCGAACTCGGTCTGCCAGGTTTTGCTCTGTGACGATTAAAGATGGCTCCAGCTCAGCAAAAAGACGATGCATCCTAGCCCGATACGCCAAACATCCAGTTTCTTCCCCTTTTGCCCTAAAGTACGCCCGCAGTGCGTTTGCATTCATTGCTTGTGACCAACGCATGCGACGTGCTCCACCAGCGGCGGGTGCCGCTTGCTGAGTCCGAGAAGACCCAGCCGACACCAAGCCTTCAGGTGGGGATGATGGATGCGGAGGACTGCTAGGTGACCGTGCAGCTCCTCGCGCTCGGCTGGCAGCCCGCATGCTGCCGCGTCCAGCACTAGCTCCAGACGCGCCCCGGCGACCCCCAGGCAGCGGCCCTTTGCGCACTATCTTTTTATCCATCATCCATTATTTGGGCGTCCATTAACGGGAGTCGCCCAGGCCCGGCACCTTTTCGTGTGTAGCCGTAAACACAAACGGGCCTCTGCACCCTAAATTCTGCCGAGGCACGGCGCTCACACCTCTCGCAAGACGCTGACTGACTGCGTTGACGTAGCAGTTTTGTCACTTAACTGTTACGTCAGCGGGCGATGGGGTCGTCACTTCCCTACGCCTTCTATATTATTATTATTATAATAATAATAAGCATAACGGTGTATTAAGAATAAATAATATTGTGCACTGTGAGAATTTAAACGCTAACATAAAGTGTGTTTGGTATAGCTGTCGTCTGCTGTTTTTCTGAGTGGGATTTAAACCAGTTATTTGATATTTTTGTGCATTAATTCCTAGTAGGTGCACGGAATCAGAAAGTAGGCAGTGTTTCACCCCTGTACTTAGGAAAGCACGTCAGGCCGTTGGTTTTGCGTCTGATCTCTTTTCGGTCATATCGGATTGCCATCCAATCGGATTAAAATAATATGAAAATAGAACAAGCACCTGCACACATTGTCACACTATAATCCTGCCCAGCGCAGACGAATATCTCGTTGAGACTGGCCACCGCATCTGTGATCATAATTCGGCCTGGAGAACATTATTATTATTTATTTATTATTCCAAAAGAAAAAAGTAGAATATGATCACTTTCATTTTTATATCTGACTGTGTAGACCATTTTTCTCTAGAACTGGTAGGTATCAAGTTAAAATTATCAAATATTAAATGTTTTTCAGCATAGGGGTCCGGCTAGATAGGTACTCGTAGTCGTGGATGGTACTCATTATTCATCATCATTACAGCCCTTCACAAGTCCACTGCTGAATATAGGCCTCCCCCAAGCAATGCCACAAAGCACGGTCCTGAGCCACCTGCATCCATCGACTTCCTGCATGTCTTACCAGGTCGTCACTCCATCTAGTGGGGGGTCGCCCTACACTACGCCTACCGGTACGAGGCTGCCACTCGAGAACTTTTCTTCCTCGTCGGCTATCGGTTCTTCGAGCTATATGGCCGGCCCATTGCCACTTCAGCTTACTAATCCGTTGGGCTATGTCGGTCACTCCGGTTTTACTGCGGATATCCTCATTACTGAGTCTATCACGCAGAGAAACTCCGAGCATAGCCCTCTCCATAGCTCGCTGAGCGACCTTGAGCGTCCTCATACGGCCAGCAGTGTAGGACCATGTCTCTGATCCATAAGTCATCACTGGCAACACGCACTGGTTGTACACTTTAGTTTTCAGAGATTGAGGTATACCTGACGAGAAGATGTGTCGTAATTTCCCGAACGCTGCCCAGCCGAGTTGAATCCGTCGATTGACCAACGAGACCACCGCACTTCTGCTCCACGCCTCCAGAGTAGTGGCACCATGGAGGACGGAATTGAAGAGCTTCTGAAGGACTTCAAGTACCGGTGTTCCACCCGCTTTCAGAAGCTCCGCTGTAATTCCATCCTCGCCTGGGGCCCTGCCATTTTTAAGGTGCTGGAGAGCCATTCTAATCTCGCTCAGGATGGTACTCGTATTATCATAATTCCTCTTAACTATTTTTGTGGCCAAACAGCAGTGCGTGCATTTCTCATTTATGGTGTGAAAGGTATTGAGAGCCAGTATAATAACCGGCTGTAAGACATTTCGTCTTAGCCCTTAGAAGTAACAACGCATTAGTAGCCTTTTTTGCTTAAAGTTGGTTGTATGTTGGTTGATTTATTGCATGGGCTGCGGCAGCAACTTACTGTCAGGTGGATTTTGAGTTCGTTGTCACTTAAATCTATACTCATCTACTTACAAATATAATAAAACGGAATAGCTTTTTTGTTTGTTTAAACACGTTTATCTCTGGAATTTGCAGTCCGAATGGAAAAATCCTTTCGTATATTATAATCTGGCTATCTATCATATACAAAAGAATTCAGTTTTTTTTTTTATTTAAAACTTGAGAAATACTAAAGGCTATATATCATTAGGTTAACCCCATCAGCCTTAAATATTTATTTTTGTTAAGCGAGTCAGAAGAAAAATCGCTCTCGAACTGCTTTGCTGGCGTAATGAGTAGTGCTACGTAAATGAAATGTTCTACAAAAATATTGATCTTTACTCCTGAGTGGTTCTCGCCGCCCAGAACATCAATCGACACAAGCTGAGCAGTCAGAGAAGGGGAGCCACACTACCCCACTCGAACAGCGGTTAGATAGCTCAAAAATGCCCAACGAGGCAACATATGATTAGTAACAATACCAAATCATAAACCATCGTCATCATCATCCTCCCTTTTCAAATAAGCGAGGACTGAATCCGATGAAGTTGTAAGAGCTGTATAGTCTAACAGCAAAAACATCTCGAAAATAGACTGATCTTACTCCATTAAAATAATTAAATATTATATAAATATCACATTATATTAAATAATTCGAAACTCGGCTCAACGCGCTTAAGGACTCACAACTCCAGCTACTCGTTGTGATCCGAGAGAATCCAGCAGTGAACGCCTCTATAAGGGAGGTCGCGCAGCATAGTGATATACGCGGGTGAAATCACAGAACAGCTTTTTTATAAGAAAATCAAAAGTATTTAAGTGAAAAATTTGGAGACGCGCAAACCCACTCATCAAAATCTATAGGGCACTTTTCATTGTACACAAGCAAAGGGATAAAATCGTAAAAAAAAGTACTGCTAACTATCACATAAAAATAAATTTTTATGTGATAGTTAGCAGTACTATCACATAAAAATATTTATTTGCAATAATTCTTAGAGCATCGACCTTTAGATAAATGGATGTTATTAGAAAACATTTTTTGCCACTGCAAAGTTAAGTTTCTTTTTCAAACCAACATAACTTTTCGTTAGAGCGATATTCGTTTCTTAACTTACTTATAATTCATTACTCGTAAGTAATATGCAGATTCGGCTTTTAAGAAAACCCTACAGCGCGATTCCTATTTGCGGTCGTCCGTGTTATTTAATATCAAATACGAAATGCCTATACTATAATAATATTTGAAATGTAACTTATTAGATTGCAAATGTATATGCTTCTCATCGTTATTTAATGTGTTAATCCAATTGGGCAGGCTGGATATACTATTTCAGGCTTATTGGCTGCTGCAAACATTAAATACTGTTCCAACCGATTCTCTGTTCAGAGCTTAATACTCGGATAAAATTGGATAAAGTTATCACGTGCTCTGTCGAGCAGAACCTATTCACATTGGAATCTTTACACTCAGTCAGATTTTGCAATTGGAAAATAGTATTTAACAAAAGCAAACAACATTGAACCATAACACACCGTGTTTAAGACTTAAAATAATGAAAAATGTATCATTAAATGTGCTCCCTTTTACTTTTGATTTAATTCGTTTTGTATTGTTGTTATAATTGTTAAGTATTTCACAAGAACTCTTTGTGCTAAAATAGTGATCATGTTTAACATGCTTATCACATTAGCTTGTTTATGACAAGATCTATATCACCTCATATCCACACCTATAATAAATAAAATTGAAGTATTGACTGAACTGACTTGAACTGAACTGGCTGGGTTATTTGCTGCCATAAGACACCATGATTTCAATGTTTGTTTATCTGTCTGCCCGGTCTAATCTACGGAATGGCTGAACTGATTATAATGAAACTTCACGAACAGAAATAAAATAATGCCAAGAGTGATCTAGGTTATATTTTATCCCAAAAAATTGAATATTTTTAATAGTCGTAAAATTGTAAAAATAAATAGGCTCTGATTCTCTTAAATTTAAATAACGTCACAAAATGAAATGAATGATTTTTATTCAATATTGATTATTGTTTAACACATATTGAATGTCATTTTTTACCACTTACCACTGGCTCGCAAAAAAAAAAAACATCTGTCCTGGGAAAAACCAGCAAGAAACCCAGCGGGAAACTTTTTTTAAACATATTTCATAGATAGGTCCTACCCAGTCAAATCCAGGGCTGGTCGCTAGTTAAAAATATAATTGGCCGATATCTATCAACTGTCGCATGCGTCCGTCAAATCCCGAGCGGTCGCATGCAACCACATCCACCCACAGTACTTTAAACCATTAAAACTTATATTTAGAGACTACTTTTCTGTGAAGAAGTTTGGCATTATAATATCTATACAAAATTTTCTATCCTGTGGTCTAAATAAAAGTCAGGTTTTACTTCATTACAAAATACTATTGTATTTTGATAACAAACAACAGGTACACACCAAGCAGATATCGGCAGGGTGAAAATCACTATTATATTTCTATATAATATTATATTTCTATATAATGACGCCTGTAGGGTATTTCTTAATGACATTCCAAAATTATGTAATTTTATGCTTTCTGGTAATGTTAATTCCAACTTCATTCCCTACTTATATGGGGCAAGATTGTGTGCCTTCAAAAAAAAAAGGATAACGGTATCCGTCCTATTGCTGTTGGTTCTACATTTCGACGCTTAACTTCAAAATTAGCTTGCAGGCACATAATCTCAAACCTTAAGACAAAATTTCAACCTACTCAACTAGGCTTTGGCACCAAAGGTGGCTG